GCGTAATTTGCAAGGGATCGTGGCCCTCGGAGCGCGGGCGCAGCGTAATTTACAAGGGATCGGGGCCTTGGGAGCGCGACCCAAAGATCATTTACGAGGGATCGTGGCCCTGGGAGCGCGGACGCAGCGTAATTTACAAGGGGTCGTGGCCCTGGGAGCGCGACCCCAGTGTAATTTACGAGGGATCGCGGCAGTGGGAGCACGGACCCTGTGTAATTTGCAAAGGATCGTGGCCCTGTGAGCGCGGGCGCAGCGTAAATTACATGGGATCGGGGCCCTTGGAGTGCGGGCGCAGCGTAATTTACAAGGGATCGTGGCCCTGGGAGCGCGACCCCAGTGTAATTTACGAGGGGTCGCGGCAGTGGGAGCACGGACCCTGTGTAATTTGCAAAAAAGGATCGTGGCCCTGTGAGCGCGGACGCAGCGTAAATTACATGGGATCGGGGCCCTTGGAGTGAGGGCGCAGCGTAATTTACAAGGGATCGTGGCCCTGGGAGCGCGACCTCACAGTGTAATCAACGAGGGACCGGGGCCCTTCGAGCGCGGGCGCAGTGTGAATTGTTAAGGTTCGTAGCCCTAGGAATGCGGACGCAGCGTAATCTATTAGAGGTCGTGACAGCTGGAGCGGGGGCGCGGCGTGATTTTGGATCACGTTCCTTGGCACGTTCCGTGGGTCGTCCCTTGGCGAGTCCCGTGGTACGTCCATTGGCACTTTCCGTAGCGCGTCCCCTCGGCACGTCCCGCGGTGCGTCCCTGTGCCACGTCCCCTGGCACGTCGCCTGGCGCGTCCCTTGGGACGTTCCGCGGCGCGTCCTCCTGGCATGTTCCCCTGTCAATTAGCTCTGGGGCAACTACTATGTGTTCAGGCAGCTCGAGCTTAAGATCCAGATCAGTTCGGTCAGGACTCGGATGCAAAGGAGGACTCGATCCACACCGCTATAGAGCACAATCGCGGCATTGCACATCGCAGTTCAGCACAGCGCAACACAGCACAGCCCTCGGCACGGTACATCAAGATCGATGCATTCAGCATAGTGTTTGCCCGTCGCCCAATCAGGTGTCTTTGAACCGTTGCCATGCCTTACATGTCTATATTCCTTTCGGGGTTCGTGGGCCGATCATGTTTCTTACATCCGCCAGCCCCCTTGTGGGGCCACCAGGCTGTAGGGCGAAGGTTCGCAGCTTCCTGTGCCAGTTGCAGCTTCCAGATTCCACTGTTACAATTCTGCTTCTTGCTGCTTACTGTTCCTTGTTGACTTCTTGCTGCTTAGGCCCAATACGGACAGTTTTACCACGCCCTGAGCGTGTGCTCTGCATTGCTGGGGTGGGTAAAATTTGACACCCCTCACGCAGATCGGCGGGGTCAGGGTGCAGAAAAACACATTGGATTCCACATTTCTGAAAGTCGGTGGCACCCCTCACGCAGATCTGCGGGGTCAGGGTCGAAACACACAAGGGGTTTGCCACATTTCTGAAATTTGCGAACACCCCTCACGCAGATCGGCGGGGTCAGGGTCCAAAAACACATTGGATTTGCCACATGTCTGACATTCGGTGGCACCCCGCACGCAGATCGGCGGGGTCAGGATCCAAAACACACATTGGATTTGCTACATTTCTGACATTCGGTGGCACCCCTCACGCAGATCGGCGGAGTCAGGATCCAAAAACACATTGGATTTGCAACATGTCTGACATTCGGTGACACCCCTCACACAGATCGGCGGGGTCAGTTTCCAAAAACACATGGGATTTGTTACATTTCTGACATTCGGTGGCACCCCTCACGCAGATCGGCAGGGTCAGGGTCCAAAAACGTATGGATTTGTCACATTTCTGAAATCCGGTGGCACCCCTCTCGCAGATCCGTAGGGTCAGGGTCCAAAAACACAAGAGATTTGCCACATTTCTGAAATCCGGTGGCACCCGTGACGCAGATCCGTAGGGTCAGGGTCGAACAACAAACATGCCCCGACACTGCTTCATGGCGGCGCCCAGACCTCATGAGTTAGCTTTTGCATCTCCCATTATCCGAGACAGGGGGCCGGCGGCATGGGGCGAAACCCTTACGGATAAAATGTGGCATTTGCTTCTTCTCGGCATTCCGACGGCTCAAGACGGCCCAAACCCCCAAGATAGCCCTAGAGGCCTCCAAGATGGCCCCATGACGGCCCAAGAGGCCCCCAAGACGGCCCCAAGAGGGCCCCAAGACGGGCCAAAAGGCCTCCAAGACGCACAAGATGGCCTCTAAGACGGCTACGAAGCGCCCCAAGAGGGCCCCAAGTTGTTTCAGAGAGGCCCCCAAGACGGCTCCCGACGGCGTCAGACGGGCCAGAAACGCCCTAAGACGGCCAAAGAGGCCCCCGAGAAGTCCCCCAAAGGCCCCAAGAGGCCCTCAAGAGGCTCCAAGAGGTCCTCCAGCAAGGCCCCAAGAGGTCAGAATCATTGATTTCCCTTTGGTGTTTGAAAGATGTTGGGGTTTGCGCCTTTTCGGCCTTCCGACGGCCCCAGACGGCCCAAGAGGCCCCCAAGGTCGCCCCAAGATCGCCCTAGAGGCCTCCAAGATGGCCCCATGACGGCCCAAGAGGCCCCCAAGACGGCCCCAAGAGGGCCCCAAGATGGCCCAAGACGCATCTAAGACGCCCTAGATGGTGTCCAAGACGGCCCTGAAGCGCCCCAAGAAGGCCCCAAGCCGGCTTCCGACGGCATCAGATGGGCCAGGAAGGGACTAAGACAGCCAAAGAAGCCTCCAAGAAGCCCCCAAAGGCCACAAGAGGCCCAAGGTGGCACCCAAGATGCCTCCAAGAGGCCCCCAGAAAGCTCCCAGGAGGCCCCAAGAGTGCCCCAAGAGGCTCCCAAGAGGCCTCCTCCTCCTCCTCCTCCTCCTCCTCCTCCTCCTCCTCCTCCTCCTCCTCCTCCTCCTCCCCCAAGAGGCTTCAAAGAGGCCTCCTCCTCCTCCTCCTCCGTGTTCTCCCCTCTTCTCCTGTTGTCTGTTCCTCCTCCTCCTCCTCCTCCTCCTCCTCCTCCTCCTCCTCCTCCTCCTCCTCCTCCTCCTCCTCCTCCCCCCCTAAGAGGCTTCAAAGAGGCCTCCTCCTCCTCCTCCGTTTTCTCCCCTCTTCTCCTTTTGTCAGTCCTCCTCCTCCTCCTCCTCCTCCTCCTCCTCCTCCTCCTCCTCCTCCTCCCCCCCGCTCCTCCTCTCCTCCTCCTTCTGCTCCTCCTCCTTTTCCTCCTCCTCCTCCTGATCTTGCCCGCCATCCTCCCCAAGTGTTCCCCGAAGGGTTTCCACAACGGTTGGGGGAACACATGATCCGATAGCTTGGAAGAGTTGTTGCCACAGCGCTCGGACACATGGGCGCTTCCAAACATCTTGCTTTCCACGCGTTCCCCGAAGGCTCTCCAAACGGACTCGGGGAACAACTGGCTCGATAGTTTGGCCAAGCTCTAGCCCAACTGCCTGCCACAAATACGCTTCCACGAGGGCAGGGGGCGGCGGTGATTCGCCGTAGGCGTCTTCGATCCGCCGCCCGCTGTTAGCTTGCCACAATGGTGCACGGCGTGCTGGACTTTAGCTAATCCTCTCGTCCTTTTAAAATTCCCACGGGCCTTCGGCCTAATGCCTAATGTGCCGGCCACCTGGAAGGACGCGTAAACTGCCCGGTTCAGGTTTCTTCCCGCCCCGTAAGGAACCATAAACTTCCCAGGTCGTTGGTGTTGCCGCCCCAGGCGGCCCCAAAATGGCCTCCAAGGCGCCCCATGCGGATCCGTAAACTTCCGAGGTCATCGGTCTTCCCGTTCCAAGACAGTCAAGACGGCTGAAGATGGCCTCCAAGAAGCCTCCAAGACGTTTACGATATCCTCATGAAGGCCCAAGGTGGCCGCAAGATGTCTCCAACACGGCCCAAGATGCACCCACGATGGCCCAAGGCAGACCCAAAGTAGCCCAAGACGGCCCGAAAGGCCACGAGGAGGCCTCCGAGAGAGCCTCCAAGAAAGCTCGAAGAGACCTCTCCTCCTTTTCTCCTTTATCCCCGACGTGTTCGCCGAAGCGTTTCCACAACGGCTGGGGGAAGACATGTTCTGATAGCTTGGCCGAGCTCTGGCCACAATGTTCGGCCACATAGTCGCTTCCAAAAAACAGGGGGCCAGCGGTGATTCGCCGTAGGCGTCTTCGATTCGCTACCCCCTTTTGCTGGCAATGGCGTTCTTGGCGCGCTGAATTTTCGGGTAGACTTCTTGGCCTTCCCGAAAGATTCGCAATGGGGTATCGGCCGATCCCGCCGACCACCCGGAAAATATCTGCCACCGGCTTCCCCGCCCAAGACGACCTCAAGAAGGCCTCCAAAACGGCCAGATGGCCTCCACGAGGTATCAACGACGCCTCCAAGACGACCAGGACTGCCCCAAGAGAGCCCAGATGCATCCGAAACTATCAAAATATTCCCACCAGAGGCCAGATGACTCAAACATGCCCAATAGGCCGCCAGGATGCATCAGGTGAGCTCCAAGAGGCCCTCCAGGAAGCACCGGGACGGCCCACAAGGCCCTCAAGACGGCCCCAAAATGGCCCAAGAGATCCCCAAGGAGGTCATGCAGCACCCCAAGAGGGCCCAATGACTTCCCAGAGAGACTCCCAAGACGGCCTCCGAAGGAGAGCCCTAAGGCTGCCCAATAAGCCTCTAAGACGACCCCCGAAGGACCCCAAGAAGCCTACAAGAGCCCCCAAGAGGCCCCAGGAGGCCTCCACGAGAACCCACAGAGGCCGCCCCCGAGAGTCCCCAATGGGGCCCAGAGAAGCTCCCTCCTCCTCGGGCTCGTTTTTCTTCTCATCCTCCCTCGCCTCTTCCTTTCTCGTCCTCCCATAAATGTTCCCTCACAGGTTTCCGCAACAGCTGGGGGAACACATAGTTCAACAGCTCGGCAAGACTTTGTACCAACGTTGGACCGCATGGGCGGCTCCAGAAAGCAAAGGGACGGCGATAATTCGCCGCAGGCGTCTTCGATAGTATTTGCCGGCGGCACGCTCGAACTCGAAGATGGTGCTGTGCAGAGAGTCAAGGGGTTCCAGGTATACCCTCAAGTCCAGCGTGAAGACGCGGTCCACGATGATGGTGGCTAGGGCGTCCCGCTCCGCCTTGTTCTTGCCAAGTCCGCTCGCGACCTGCTCTTGCAGTTTCCCGCCGACTTCGCGCATCGTCACCGCCCACTGCTTGAAGCTCTCGTCCAGGCTCTTCCCGTCCACGACCCGCTTAAGCACCTCCTGCAGTAACCTCAGCGCATCCCTCCCAGGGACTCCCGCTTCCACCACCTCGTGCGCAGAAGGCACACCTGTACGCCGGCACCGTGCCTGGCCAAGGCCACCCTGGGCCGCGGGACGGCGTCACCCGCCCTCCCGGTCTCGGCCGGGAGGGCCTGCACACGGCACCAGGAGGGCCCCGGCCAGGCGTCGTGGCGTATGAATGCCCTCTGCTGGCCACCTCGAGCATCGACGATGACGCAGAGCACGGCGGGGGCATGACCAGCACGTGCCCCGCGGGCGTGGCCTGCAGCCGTGTGCGCCCCAGGACGTGCCGCTGCCCGTCGGAGGGCGTGAAGGCAATGCTGGCCGTCGCCGTGAGGGCCTGCAGCGCGCCCTCCTCCACGTGCCAGCCCACACGATGCGTCACGGAGACGCCTCTCTTCGCGGAGGTCAACGCTATGGCGACGAGCTCAGGGAGGGAACCATGAGGCTGGAGTCGGCGATGCATCCCCGATGGATCGGCGAAAAGGCCCCTGATAGCGTATCCGCACGGTCCTGGGCAGGGCGGGGCTATCGGGCCCCTATCGGCGCTGAACGGGCGATTGGGGGTCGACACATCCCCCCTGAGCCTACCACCCCCCCTTACATAACGTTGCCCCCGACTTCGGCGGCGCGCCACGGGGGGGAAAGCAGAGGGGGCCGGCCGTCTCAGAGGAGGCTCGGAAGGCCTCCCTCCTCTGCGCAGCTCCCTGCGCCTTCTGCGAAGCCGCGGAGGGCTGCCCAGAAGGCGGGCGGCCTTCTGAGAGGCCCCGGCGCCCTCTGAGAAGACCTGCCCCTCGGCAGGCCGCGGCCTTTCCTCGGCTACACGCAAGAGTGACCCCGGCCAAGCGTGACCTTTGGTGCGCGGCCTGAGCGGGAGCCCTTTGGGACACCACCGGGCGAACAAGCCGCTTCTGTCACACTGCACTCAGCTCAGCGATCGGGGAGGCCCCCTTGGGCCCGCACCAGAGGCCACGCGTCACTCTTGAAGATACTCGATACTTCTGCGCAGAAGGCACCCACACGCCCCCACCGGGTCCGGCCAGGGCTGGCCTGGGGCCCAAGCTCTGCGCAAGGCGGGCCCCAAGAAACCCGGAGTTAGAATCTGTCGCGGGCGGTTGGTCTGGAGGCGGGCGAGGGCGTCACGACGGATAGCTACGTATACTCTATCCAGCGCTTGCGTCGTCAACTCCCTCTTAATGAAATGCTTTGGCTGTCAATCTCTCTTCGTGAAAACATTTCGCCGTCAACTCTCCGAGTTGACGAACTCCCTGGACGGCCTCCTTCCGCATTGACGAACCCCAATTGACGGCCTCCTTTCGAGTTGACGAGCGCCCTTGACGGCCTCCCTCTAGGGTGACCAGCCCCGTGACGGCCTCCCTCCAAGTTGACGAACCCCCTTGACGGCCCCCCTTGCCGCACCCTGCGTCTTGACGAACACAGCGTCGGGGCCGAACTGTTGCTTAAAAATAATTTCGGTCTTGACGAACACAGGTGTCGGGGCCGAGTTGACGGCTCCTCTCGTCTTGACGAACGAAGTGTTGGAGCTGAATTGGCGATCGCTTTCATCTTAGCGGGCGTAGGCTTGGGGCCGAATTGACGTCTGAAGTGTCCGGGCTGAGTGGACGGCCGTTGTGGGCGCTTCCCTAGACATGTGCCGTCTCAACCACTGGGCTAGGCTCAGCCCAGAGCCAGAAAATCTTGCCATCTCTTCGGGCTTCTGCTCGGCAGCGAGCGAGGGGGGGGGCGATAAGAAGCGGTTATTCGTTCAAGGCGGCGGGACTTCTCAGAAAGCCTCCCGCCTTCTGAAGATGTTTAGCGTCTTCGGGGAAGGCTTAGAAAACTTCGCAGAAGGCCGGGGGACTTCCGAGCCTTCCGAGCAGACCTTATCCTTCTCACTTCCCCCTGGGCTCGCCGCCGATCTACAGACCCGGGTCAATCCAAATCCAGGTCAGTCAGGCTTCGCAGGATCCTGCAGGATCCTGCGCTAGCCTGGGTCGGTGCACCCCTGGCCCTGCGGACCCCCCCAAGATCCAGCGCTCTAATTGACCCCCGTTTGCACCGACCCCCGTCTCAAGGCTCCGGATCTTTTGGGGGGGCACTGTCCTCTGGTCACTGCGACTCTGCGCGGAGCACTCTGAATGATATTACAAAAGCCATCTAGTTAGAGGACCCCGAGCCCCAAGTGTCGGATTCCCTGGGGTTCCTCGCAGGACTCGTGGGGCTTATCACGCATCCCACGATAATGAACACTTTCTCTCTCTCTCTCTCTCTCTCTCTCTCGGATCATCCACATGGCTGCAACATGAAGCAAAAGAGATCGAGACAAAATGTTGCCGCACCGATTCCGTGATATTCACATTTGGGCTCAATCGGGGGGGGAATCTCTTTGCGCCTCCCGAGGGCGGAGTCTGCATCGCCACTCCTGCACGGGCTGCTTCCCGAGCCTGGCCCTAACCGTCTGACAAACAACGTTAAAATTCAGCAGCGGCCTCCGGCCGGGCAAACGTCACCATCTTCCCTGCGACCGTTTGGGTTGCCGCGTTCGCGACCGCGGCCTCGGGCGGCATGTGAAAGTGATGCAACGAATTTTCTGACTGCACAGGAAGCTCCCTTGAGCTCCACGCCGCGCACGCTATGATACACCAGGTCGGGCGCGGAGTAGGGGCGGAAATTCGGGAAGTACTTCACGAGCAGAGTCGCCTACCTAAGCTCCGAGAGCGAGCGCGTGCTGCCCAGTCCTGGGCTTGAAGCCGAGTCCGGACGTGAATCGTTCGGTCTTCTCCCAAGCAAGGAACTTCGTTAGGAGATCGGCCAACATCTGCTCAGCCCCCTTCTTGCGAATACCAACCTTGAGTCTATCGATGGCCTCTTGGGCACAAAACCACACTGTGTCGATGTGCTTCGTTTTGCCCAAGCCTCTCCTCGACGCCAATGCCCAGCCTGCGCGCCAGGTTCCAATCCAAAGCTAAAGACCTATGCCCGCACAGTTCCGACATCAAGGTCACTAAAGAATCATACAATGCCTCGCCACTACTTAAAGCTATCACAGATTGCCCCCTTGCACCAACGCAAAATCGAATGCGACCCAGCTAATACAGCCCCCGGAAGTGCTGTTGCGCGTGCGCAGACAGCCGGCACGATCAGCGCCACGCCATCCCTCCAGGAAGGTTGCCGCCTCCTGGCTCCAGAAATGCTGAACTAGGCGCGGCGCGCCCTTCAAATAACGCGCAATGTGCTTTAAAATGCGAATGCATCTCTCAGTCGGGCACTGCATGCATTTCGCCATCTCGCGGACAGCCACGCCTAGGTCAGGGCGGCCCTGGGCGATGCATGCCAAGCGCGCACGCAGATCTGCGCCGCGTGCGTGCGCCATCTGGGCTCTCGACGTCCTCGACCTCGACGCTCTCCGGCTTCTCCTTCAACCCTGGTGCGGTGAACGTCGCGCCAGACTGCTCCAATCCAAGCTCCCGGACTATGATCTGCACGCGTCGCGGGTCTCACTCCAACTCGATTCCGTCGGTTGTCCAAGTGAGCAGGCGACTCAGCGCGCGAATGCTCTGCGCTGTGTCCGGCTCGCCTCGCGGCCCGAATGCCCCTTCAACCTCGACGGCCCACTCCTTGCTGAGCTCCATGTAGAGCCAATCGACGCCCGCCCCGGCCCCAAGACTCACGAAGTTGCCCCCATGGAGAGCGGCGCGCGTGTCGCGCGCAGGATGCCAGAAGATGCGCAGGGGCGATTTCCCCTTGCGGAATCCCAGCGACTTCATTTTGGAAGCCACCAGCTTCTCCCATAGGGCAGCGGCGTCGCGAATGCCGTGCGTGGAACGAAGCAGTCGGCCAACCATGTCGCCGGTGATGCCGCGCACCTGCTGGTAGTCCTCTGGCAGCTCCAAGAACAAGCTCCTCTCGGCCATGGCCCATAAGTGCGCCTTCATGACGTCTAGGAACTGCAGCGCGCACTTCCCCTTCTTGGCGTGCACCACTTTTTTGCGGGGGAGCGCAGCCGCCGCCGCAATGGACAGGGGCATCTCGAGAGACGCCATCGGCGGCATCGCAGCGAAGCACTGCTCTACCGAACCCTTTTGCCGAATCTCCTTCGCCAACAGTCTGCTGCGCACCGGGAAGTCGACCTCGTCGTCCTTGTTGACGTCGACCCACCTCGCGCCACCCACCTTGTGGCCCGCTGGCCGCGGAACCACCTCCCAGAGGCCGATGCTGTCAATGAAATCCATCTCCTCGGCCCGCCCGCGCCTCCTGGGTGAGATCCCCGGGCGGCACCTTGCCCGACAGGTCATCTCTGTGCGCCAGATCCGCGGGGCCGACGAAGCCGTCGTCGCCCTGCTCGAATGGCTGCTCGACCGGAACCGGGCACTCGTCGCCCGAGTCGCGAACTGCCGTGAGCACCCTCTCACGCTGCGACTCGACCAGCGCGCCAATCGCGTTCTCGATCTCGTCGCCCTCCCCGCCGTGGTCGATGAGGCGCGCCATCGTGGCGATCGTGTCTTCCTGCATGGCCTCCTGGCCGTCGCCCCCAGCGGGAACCTCTCCTCGCTTGCGACCCCTGTCAGAGTCGACGTGCATTGGAAGCGGCTGGCTCGATTCCGAAGCTGCGCCTCCCGCTGCCTGGTCTTCCCGGGGCGCCGGGGGCTGCTGGCTCGATGCCGAAGCCACGCCTCCCCCTCCCGCTGGCTGCACCTCCCGGGACCAGAGGCTGCTGGCTCGATGCCGAAGCCGCGCCTATGGCAGCATCTGCTGGCGATGTCCTGGCCGCCACTCTGCGCCGAGCTCCTTGGGGAGCTCCCGCCAGCGCCTCTTCGGACGCTCGCTTCTCGGCCTCGCGCGATCTCTGCGCGATCAGCCTGGATCTCTGGCCTTCACTTTCCACCTCCGGCGGCGCTCGGGCGCGCGCGGCAAACCCTGCCGAGGCATCTTCATTACGCCCACGAAGCAAGCGTGACATCCTTCCGCGCGCCCGTAGTTCTCCAGGCCCGCAGAGGTTATGTAGTACCTTCGCTTGCTCTTGGCCTGCTCAGCCGCCTCGGTAGGCAACTTCGGCACCTCTGGGCTGACTGGCAGAAGTTCAGCAGCACCTGGGAGCTCCAACGCCTCCTGGTCGTCGTGGCCGTCCGGCATTGGCTTCCAAGGTAAACCTCTCAGATTCGACAGCGCCTCGCCGTCGAAACGCTGATCCTCGGGTAGCCGCCGCACCGACTGCACAACGAAGACCCCGTGGTCCGTGTCCACGATCTTCTCCGTGCTCTCCACCGTCGCGCCGAGGAGCAGTCGCGTGCGCTCCTTGAACTCCACGCTCTCGTCGAAGGGCTGCAATGGCACCTGCCGCACCTTGCCTTTCACTCGCTGGAACGGTGTCATGCCGTCCTCAGCGCGGCTGTAGATGTACTGCAAGTTCGGCGCGTGCTCGATGAGCCACGCGATCACCGGACTCTTCGGGTCCAGTTTGATCCGCGCGTGGATTTCCACGTGCTCCTTGAGCGTCCGCCCCAGACCATGGATGCTCTAGACCGCGCGCTCGGCCTCCCCGTTGGACGCCTTCTCGCCCTTCGCGGCCTTCTCGATAACGATCTCGCCAGCCCAGAACTCCTTGAGCTTCTGGGCCACCGCGGCGACCGAGCTCTCCTGGTCGCTCTTGACGTTCACCTTCTTGCACGCGAGCCGGTCCAAGTCCGATGCCGTGACCTTCGCCGGGTGCAAGATCACGACGCCGCCCTTCTTCTCCAGCCCCTTGTGCGGAACCGGGTGTGCAAACGGGCACTTCGCCTCGCGATCGCACCCGAGCAGCGCAGGCAGGTCCTTGCCCGCCACTGCCTCGAAAGGCGCCTCCCCGGGGACACCGAAGAAACCGTAGTCTGCCGAATAGGTGCTGTACGCCTCCTGGCTCTTGTCCTGTTTGAAGTGGGGACAGCTCTTGGCGCGCCCTCGCACGCAGGCCGCGCGCCGCGACCTGGAAGGAAGATGCGAAACCTCGTGGTCTTCAACCATCCTCTGCGTAGGTTTCGGAGGCGCAGTCATTGCCCTCGAAACTGGCCCCTCCTCCTCCTCCGGGGACTGCAAGCTCGACGCCGCAGCCGAGCCCCCTGGAGGGACCTCCGCCGACCCCGTGTCCACCTCCACGCCCTCGCCGATGATGGGGTAGATGACGAGGGCGGTCTTGCGGCTAAGCCTTCCGCGTGGAAGCCTGCACCCGCGGCTTCTCCAGTTTCTGGATCCAGGCCGGGAGCGCGTAGACGCCGTCTTTCTCGAAGGTGTTCGTGGTCTGGCCCGTCCGGTAGTTGAAGATGCCGCTGCCGCCGTTCTCCTCGGAGTCGAGCCAGACGCAGCTACCGTTCTTCACCATCTTGGCTACCGAGCTCAGTGGGCGGTGGATGTCTCCAACCTCCCAGCTGGTTTCAGATCGCTCCCAGACATGAAGCCGCACGCCAAATCTTTCTCACCGTCCTTCTGCACTGTGTGCTTGGACGCGGTTTTGTACGATCGAGGCTCACCGCCCCTCTTCAAGGGGTGACATGTGGCCACATGCCGTGGCGGCATGCTCGTCGAAGCGCCCGAGTCCTCCACAGCGACGTCGATCCTCTCGCGCCCGTCGTGCTGCCACCTCCGCTAGGGCTCCTGGGGGGAGACCTCCGGCGAGGCACCCAGCATGTGCAACTCCCCATGGGGCCCCACGCCGGTGCCACGGCTCGGTTGCGAAGCCGCGGTGCCCCAAGACCTGCGTCGCGCTGATCTACGAGGCTTGTCCCGCCAGCTCGCACTCCAAGACTGGCGGCTCTTGGCCCTCCACGGCGCTGGACCGGCCCACCTCGGGGTGGACGCCCTCGTGTCGCTGTGTTCGTGCTCGTCCTTGGCGTTCTCGCGCTGGCCTTTGACCTCAGCGCGTTTCCTGCTGTGCTCCTTCCTCTTCGCCTCCGTGCGCGTGTAGCCCGCCTGCCGGTGCGCCCAGTGCCCCTCCGAGTAGTCCTTCTGTTCGTCCTGCATTACTCCTGCCTCCCACTGCTGACTACGCTCCTCCTCTGCCTCTCCACTTCCTCTGCGCATGCTGCTCCTCTTCTCATATGTCTCTCCTCTGGTCCTGCTCCTCCTATTATGTTCCTTCGCTGGTTTGCATCTGCGTTTGTCTCCTCTGGCAGTGGCACCAGGAGCAGCGTCGTCACCCGCGCGGCGGCTCGATGCCGAAGCCGCGCGCTCGTCACGAGGGCTCGCGCGCCGCCGGCTCGATGCCGAAGCCGGGGCCGCCGCCCATTGGCTTGCGCCGTCCGCGGATCGCCGGCTCGATTTCGCAGCCACGCCCTCGGCTGGCGCATCCTCCTCCTCGTGTTTCCTGAAACTCCTCCTCTGCTCGCCTTCCTCGTCCTCCTTCGCCTCGTCCTTCCTCGTCTTTTGATTTCTCCTGCAGGAGGTCGGGGTCGGAACCGGGGTCAGAGCACGACTCCTGTCGGCGATGTCGGCCCTCTTCCCCCTCTTGGGCGGCGGACACCTTGGAGGAGGTGTAGGAGACGCACTCCTGATCGACGTCCCGGGAGACGAAGGGGACAGTGATGTCGACGACCCGCTGGCATGCTGCTCGGGATCGCCTCTCTCCAGTACGAACGAAGAGCCCATCTCGCCTCCAGCGACCGGCGCGCCCTCTTGCGGGCGCGCCTCGGAGAGCTCGTGCGCCCCACCGCCGCGACCTCCACCTCGAGCGCCCTTGGGCGTGCCCTGGGGTTTGCCGCCCTTGGGGTCGCTCTTGGCCACTGGCTCCCTGGGCGGGAGCTGCTGGCCGTTGACGTCGGTCCTGCTGTAGCAGCCAGCGCGCTTGTGGCCCCAGCGCCAGCACTGGCCGCAATATCCTTGGAACTGCTGCTGTCCGCGCCCAGCTCCCTGGCCACCGCCGCCGCCGCCGTCTTTGCCTTTACCCTTGCCGCCGTCCTTGCCTTTGCCTTTGCCGCCGTTCTTGCCTTTACCTGCTCCTTTGCCCTTGGGCGTCCCTTTAGGCCCGAAGCTACCGATCTACATCGGTGCAGGCCCATTCCTGCCGACAGTCTGCTCCACGTAGCGCTCAATCTCCTGCTTGAACAACTCGTAGGTCTGCAGGCGGCTCACGTTGAGGCCCAGGTGGCTGCTCAACACGTCAGGGCACATCGACTGAAGCGTAGCCCGCTTCATGGAGTCGCTGAGCTCCTCGTTGGCGCGCTCCTTGTAGGACATGTAGTCCTGTTCCCACTGCTCGATGGCACTGAGCAGTTGGTCTGTGGAGACCTGCGCCAGGCGCAAGATCTTCCAGAGCTTCCGAAGGTTGGCGCTTGGGTTCCTGGGGTCGAAGGTTCTGCTTAGCTTCCGCAGCCCGTCCAATCCGGACGTCTTGCGGGTGTTCTTGATGATGTCGAAGGCGGTCGTGCCGTTCGTCATCAAGGACGTGAGGATCGCGTGGAGCCCCCTGTTGAGCTCCGTGGCCCTGGGGAGCTCGTCCACGATGTCGGTGATCCTCTCGTCGGTTATGGTGGCCGCGCCCTCGGCCGCCGCCCAGTCCAGCACCTCTTCGGCATGCTCGTACTGGGAAGCCAACCAGGTGACGAACTTGTACGCCCAGCCTGCCCTGTCGCTTTCCTTCCCACTGAACCTCGCTGGCTTCTGCACGGCCCTGCTGTCGACCATGCCCTCGCGCTTCCTCGAAGCGCTCTCCACCTTGAGGAACTCGGCGTTCTGCTGCACCGCCGCCTGCAGTGCCGTGCTCTGCTCCTGCAGCTGCCTGGCCAGTCTGGCCATTGCCTCGTCGGAGCGCGCCTGGGCCGTCGCCATCGCAGCCTGCTGCTGCCTGAGCGTCTCGCCCATCTGGGTGATGGTGGCGAGCACCTGTTGCTCGTTCATGCCGCATGGTCTGACGAGGACGCGAGGCTCGATGCCGAAGCCTCGCACTCTCCGAGCTCACGCCGCTCAGGCGCGAGCACCCATCCGGCGGCCGCGCGCGGGGATGGAGCGAATCGTGGGGACGACCCGCTCCGTTACCATGAACACTTTTTATCTCTCGGACCAGTCAGATGGCTGCAGCATGAAGCAAAAACGATCAAGACAACATGTTGCCGCACCGATTCCGTGACATTCGCATTGGGGCTCAATCGGGAGGGAAATCTCTTCAAATAAACCCAAAAAGGGTTCCAGAACGGCTGAAAAACGACCCAAGAAGTGCCGAGACGGTCCCAGAACGATCCAAGACGGCCTCAAGAGACGCCCCCACAGGGCTCCAAAAGGACCCCCCAAGAAGGCACTCTAAGTCTAAATCCCAAAAACATGATCGACCCACGAACCCGGTAAGGAATACAGACATGTAAGGCATGGCAGCGTTTTCAAGGCACCTGATTGGGCGACGGGCAATTGCAATACTGTATGGATCGACCTTGATGTACCGTGCCAATGGCTGTGCTGTGCTGCGCCGTGCTGAGTTGCGATTTGCCATGCCGCGATTGTGCTCTATAGCGTTGTGGATCGAGTCCTCCTTTCATTAGCACATAGCAGCTGCCCCAAAACTAATTGACAGGGGGATATGCGAGGGGACGCGCCGCGGAACGTCCCAAGAGACGCGCCAGGGGACTTGCCTTGGGATATGCCATGAGGACGCACCGCGTGACGTGCCAACGGGACGCGCTACGGAACGTGCCAGTGGACGTGCCACGGCCAAGGGACGCGCCGCGCGACGTGCCAACGGGACTCGCCACGGGACGCGCCACGGAACGTACCGGGGAACGTGCCAGGCGACGCGCCAAGGAACGTGCCAGGGAACGCGTCAGGGAACGGGCCACGGGACGTCCCTGACCAAGGGCCAAGATCCTTTGTAGATTACACTGCGTGCGCGCTCCCAGGGCCACAATCCATCGCAAAGTACGCTGCGTCCGCGCTTCCAGGGTCACGATCCCTCGTGAAGTACGTTGCGTCCGCCCTGAACTGCGATATGTCATGCTGCGATTCTGACCTATAGCGTTGTGGATCGAGACCTCTTTGGCATTCGAGTCCTGACCGACTCGGCCTCAAAATCCGACTCAGCTCCGAACGCGAACGACACGACACGGGGCACAGGCTCACGGACGCACCACAGGATGTGCAAGGGGCGCAATAGGGGATGCGCCAGGGAACGTGTCAGATGACGCATCAGAGGACATGCCCTGGACGTGTAAGGACCTGCCACGGGACGTGCCAAAGCGCGTGCCATGGGGTGGCCAGAGGACGTCATGCCAAGGGCCGTTGCAAGGGGGCCCGCCACGGAGCGGGCAAGGGAAACGCCTGGGGACGAGCAAGGAACCGCGACAGAGGACGAGAAAGGGAACGTGCCACGCCGAGTGGCGTGCCAGGGGACGTGCCAGCCTGAACGTCGCAAGGGACGCGCCAAGGGGCGCGCCAGAGCGCCAGGGAACGCCCAGGGACGGGCGGGGTTGGACTGCGACGCACTCTACTGCGACAAGCGTTTCGCTCGAGGCGTCCTCAACAAATCCTCATACTAGACATCCGCCTGGGCGACCTGGACACGTGAAACCAAGCGACTCGCTCGAGACGTTCTCAACATCTCCTCATGTTAGACATCTGCCTGGGCGACCTGGACACGTGAAACCAAGCGCTTCACTCAACACATCCTCATGCTACACATCCGCCTGGGTGACCTGGCGGTTCGCTCGAGACATCCTCCGAGCATCTTCACGTTAGACATCCGCCTGGGCGACCCGGGTACGTAACAACAAACGTTTCGGTCAACGCATCCTCAACACATCCTCATGCCAGACATCCGCCTGGACGACCTGGACACGCGAAACCAAGCGTCTCTCTCACGAGACATCCTCAGCATCTCCTCATGTTAGACATCCGCCTGGGCGACATGGACACGTGAAAAGAATGGATACACGAAAACAAGCGTCTCTCTCGAAACATCCTAAGCACATCCCCATGTGAGACATCTGCCTGGACGACCTAGACGCGTCAAACCAAGCATCTCGCTCGAGACAACCTCAGGAAATCCTGATGCTAGACATCTGCCTGGACGACCTGGACGCGTGAAAACAAGCGTCCCGCTTGAGACATCCTCAATACCTAGGCATGAAAAACAAGCATTTCACGTGAGACATCCTCTGAATTCTAGCCCCCAGGAGAGGCACGATCTATTGCACAAAACAAACGTTTCGTTCGAGACGTCCTCAACGAATTATGCAAAACAAGCGTTTCGCTCGAGACATCCGCAACAAACGAAGATGCTGGCGTCATCCTGTGATTTATCGATCGGAAGTTCAAAAACAACAGAATTTCGCTCGGGACATCCTCACATTACATTATAATTCGCTGGCCCTCTTTGACGTCGTTATTTATTACGAACATTTCGTCAGCCCTCTTCGAGTCGATTCTGGGATGGGATAAACCTACTAAAAAAGAGCCCTAAGCCCCCGCCATTTCCGGGAACAAATAAAGAACGGAGATTAGAAACGTCGAAGTTGAGCTGATTCCCTCGTCTCTCCTCTCCGTGACGGGGGGTACTGCATGGGGGCAGGGGAGAGGAGGGGCACGGGGGGGGGGGCCCGGTCAGATGACCGCCCCCCCCCCGGTCTGGGGGCTGGGGGTGGGGCCCTCTCCCCTCCCCGGTCTGGGGGTGTCCCTCCTGCGAAGGGGGAGTTCTGGGAAGGAGGGTCCTGGGAAGGGATCCCAAGGGGTTCCCGTCTGATTTTCTGTTGCTCAATGATTTTAGCGCTCTCGCCCTTTCGGGCTTTCGACGCTCTAAAGCGGCCCAAGAACGTGTCCCCGAATGCCGCCACGAGACTACTCAAAAGGTCCCCCAACTGGTCCCGAAACGGCCTCAAAATGGCTCTAGCACGGCGCCCCAAGACGGCCCCGAGAAGGAGAACTCGAACTCACCATGGGAGCTTATCCCGGGCATCTTGCCCGCACCCAAACATGTCACCAAAAACTTCGCGGACACGCCCAAGAGGCACTGCCCAGGTCTGCATAGTCCTGGGCCCAAAATAGCCCTGGCCAGACGTGGTGATGTATAGATGCTTCGATTATGCGGAGCCTTGGCCCTTGTGCTCCACCTCCTCCCGCTGGCCAGGGGCACGCTGCCCGAGCGCCTGGCCGAGGAGGTGCATGACGTCCGTGGCGACGGCCGCCATGTCGCCTCGCGACTCCTCGAACTCCAGGTAGGGAGCACCATCTGTCAGAGGCACCGAAAACAGGTCAGGAAGAGTCCGGAGGCAATTCCTGTGAAGTCCCCGTAGAAAAATTCGCCGGCCCAACTGGCCAGAGGCGTGCTAAGATCTCCGGTAACTGGTTAACAATATTTCTAGTTCTCGCGCGCGGGGCGGCCCCTGGGGGTGCCGCAGCGAAAAATACCCCGACCGCCGCCCGGGCGCAGCCCTGCCACCCTTTACTCAGATATAGTTTTCCTCGTGGGCGCGGTCTCTCAGGGCGCCCAGAGCGCGCCAAGAGTGCCCCAAGAGGTCCCCAAGACAGTACAAGAGCGCCCCGAGTCACCTAACAAGCGGCCCAAGACGCCCAAGATTGCCTTCAGACGGCCCTCACGGCCGCCAAGAAGCCCCAAGAGAGCCTCAAGAGGCTCCCCAAGATGGCCCCAACAAGCAAAAATCGCCCCATTCCCTTAGGAAGCGTATTTTTCGCATATGCGACGTCTTGGGGTTCACCGCATCCAAACTTGCCCAAGAGGCCCCCAAGATCGCCCCAAGACGGCCCAACAAGCCCCCAAGAGGGCTTCAAGACGGCCCAAGAGGGCCCCAAGAAGGCCCAAGAGGCGCCCAAGACGGCCCCAAGAGGGGCCCAAGAGGGGGAACTCGAAATGAGATTTCAATCTTTCCACCCCACGGAGCACCTCCGAGACCGCCAGCAAGCCCCCAAGAAGCCCCCAAGAGGTCCCAAGAAGCCCCCAAGAGGCCCAAAACAAGGCCCCAAGGGCACGGAAACGGCCCACAGCAGGCCTCAAGAGGATTCAAAATTGCTTCCAGAAGACTCCCGAGACGCCTGCCAAGAGACCCCAACAGCGCCGCATTGACAACGAGCCCTCGGGCAAACGGCGAAGATGAGGCTGTACACGGCGGCGGAATGAGCGAAGCGATTCAATTAAGGGCATACCGGCAATATTAAGTACTTCAAGGCTGCGATATATTCTGACATGTTCAATGATCTGTCGTTTTGTCTTACGATGGCTCTTTGATATCCTCCCAATGGCTGGTTCGTTCATAGATGACACGACTCTCTAGGTTAGCCCATTAAGCGGAAACTACTGTAAGTGTGGAAGTGTGCGCCCGACCCGGGAGGAGGCGGGGGCGCACGCTCCTTTTTACACCTCGCAGCTCAAACACAGCTGCGGTAAAGTAGCGCCAACATCCACGATGGCCAGCGGGCCAGCGGCGGCAAGGCGGCTGCGAGAGAGGGCAGGGCAGGAGCCGTACTAACTCCCCCCACGGCAGGATGTGTAGGCCAAGCGACAGCTCCCTTCGGAGTTCCCAGGCTTTGTGCAATCCCCATGCACATTGGCCCACCAAAAGCCAACCCCCAAGATGATCGACCCACGAACCCGGAACGGAATGTAGAAATGAGAAGCATGGAAACGTTTCACGACATCTAATTGGTCGACGCGAACTTGCTATGCTCAAGTTAACGATGATGTACAGTGCCAAAGGCTGTGCTGTGCTGTGCTGTGTCATGCTGTGCCGAATTGACATGTGTTGTGCCGCTTTGAACTATTCTCCTGGACGCGTGAACACGCGCCAACAGACACGCGCGAAACGCATGTTACATCCCCCCTCCACGCACATGAAAACAAGCGTTTTGCTAGAGACACCCTCAACACATTCTGAACATGATGGGACCCACGAGCCCTGAACAAAAAGTCAACGAACCGATACCTGATACAAACAAACTCTCAGCATTCCTTTCCAGGCCCCAAGAAAGCCTCAAAAGGCCCATGTTAGATCCCCCCTGGTTAGCCTGGACACGTAAAAACAGATGGTTCCAGCTCGAATCCACCATGTTAGATACCTTCTGGGGTGGCCTGGACACGTAAAAATACGTGGTTCCAGCTCGGGACCACGATGTTAGATAGATGTCTCCCTGGGTGGCTTGGACACGTGAAAACGCTTGGTTCCAGCTCGGGAACACCATGTGAGATACCTCCTGGGTGGCCTGGACACGTGAAATCACATGGTTCCAGGCCACCCAGGGGGGATATCGAACATGCGGTCCTCTGGAGCTCAGGAGGGCCCAGGAATGCCTGGAGGCGCCCAGAGGCCAAAAAGTGAACGAATCGATACTGGATGCAAATGATAACTCTCGACGTTCCGTTCCGGGCCTTAGGAATGCCACAAGAGGCCCATGCTTGGTACCCCCCGTGGCCTGGATACGTAAAAACACAGGGTTCCAGCGAGGACCGCCGTGTTAGACACCCCTTAGGATGGCCTGGACACGTGGAAACACGTGGTACGTGGTTCCAGCGCAGGACCACCATGTTAGATACCCCCCAAGGTGGCCTGGACACGTGAAAACATATGGTATCAGCTCGGGGCCACCATGTTTGATACCCCCCTGTGGCCTGGACACGTGAAAGGACGTGGTTCCAGCTCGGGAACACAATGTTAGATACCCCCCTTGTGTGGCCTGGACACGTGACGGCACGTGGCTCCAGCTCGGGACCACCATGTTAGATACCCCTCTGTGTGGCCTGGACACATGCACACACGTGGTTCCAGCTCGCACGGGATGCACTTCTTCGACCAAAAAGTGCCCCGCACCCTGTGATTCATCGATCGGGATGTCAAAACAAGCGTTTCGCTAAGGACATCCTCGAAATTCAACCCCGCCGGCCCTCTTCGACCATGCTTTTTATAACAAAATTCGCCGGCCCAACGGGCCAGAGGCGTGCTAAGATCTCCAGTAATTGGTTAAAATTATATTTCTAGTTCGCGCGCGCGGGGCGGCCCCTGGGGGTCCCCGGGCGACAAGAACCCCGGGCAAGTCCCGGGAGGAGACCCCAGACCGGGCAATTTTTCGACACCCCTCACGAGGATCGTGGCCTCCGATGGGGGGAGCCGCAATCGACTACCCCCCCTCCCGCCCCAAGAGGCCCACAAGAGCCCCTCAAGAGGCCCTGGGGGCCCCCAAGACGCCGCCAAGGAGCCCCAAGAGACTCCCAAGAGGCCCCCAAGAGGCCCCCAAGAGGCCTTAAAGAAGGCTCCAAGGCCGGCGGAATGAGCGAAACGATTAAATAATTCCGCCGGCCCCCACCTCAAAAGGGGCCGGAAAGCAATATAGATATGTAAGGCATGACAACGTTTCAAAGACACCTGATTGGGCGACGAGTGGGGAGGCACATTTGCGCCCTCAGAGTGGCCCCCCCCTGAGCACCGGAGCGTCCCCGCCAAACGGTTGAAATCAAGAAAACCACCTCTATGTTCGGAACCGATTCGAAACCGAAATGGATCGTGCTCCGACCGATTCGGAGCCGAAAGGTATCGCGATCCAACAAATTCGGGGCCGAAATGGATAGTGATCCGACCGATTCGGGACCGAAAATGACCGTGATTCAACACATTCGAATCCGAGAAAGATAGTGGTCCGACGGTGATCCGACAGATTCGGTGCCGAAAGGGATAGTGATCCGACCGATTCGGGACATATGGGAAGCGTGATCCGACAGATTCGGGGCCGAAACGGATCGCGATCCGACGGTGATGCGACCGATTTTATGCCGAAAGAATCGCGATCAGACCGATTCCAGCTAGAAAGGGATCGTGATCCAACGGAATCGGGGCCGCGAGATCGACCAGCTTCGAGGAGGAGGAGGAGGAGGAGGAGGATGACGGGAAGGAAGAGGAGGAGGAGGAGGAGGAGGAGGAGGAGGAGGAGCAGGACGAGGACGATGAGGAGGAGGCAGAGGAGGAGGAGGACTGGCGCTAGAAGTCCAGAGGCCTCCAAGTTCGCCCGGGGAGCGCGCGCACGCGTGCCTGCACGCCTGCACGCGCGCGCAGCGGCAGCTGCCGAAAGGCCATTTCTCGCGAGCACACACCAGCGAATCGCACGGCGCAGCCAACGGTCTAGAGTCCAGAGAAGAATGCGAAGCAAAGAAAACAGGCGATGGACGAGAAGAGGCTGAGGATGTAGAAGGTGACGGAAGGAAGAAGGAGGATGAGGAGGAGGAGGAGGAAGAGAATAAGGAGGATGAGGAAGGAGGAGGGGGTATAAGGAGACGAGGAGGGGGCAAAGCCCGGGGGGCGCGCGGGCGCACGAGTGCGGCCCGCGCGCGCGCTGCGCCTCGCCCGCGGCGGGCCCCTGCCGCCGGCGATGGCCGCTGCTGGTCGGCAACGGCGGGGAGGGAGGATGAGGGTCTCTCTCTCTCTCTCTCTCTCTCTCTCTCTCTCTCTCTCTCTCTCTCTCTCTCTTCCTCTCTTATCTCTCTCTCGCTCTCTCTCTCTCTCTCTCTTTACTCTCTCTCTCTCTCTCTCTCCCTCTCTCTCTCTCTCTCTTTTTTTCTCTCTCTCTCTCTCTCTCTCTCTCTCCCCCTCTCTCTCTCTCTCCCCCTCTCTCTCTCTCTCTCCCTCCCTCTCCCCTCCCCCTCCCTCTCTCCCTCCTCCTCCCCCTCCTCCTCTCCCTCTTATCGTTTCTCCTATCTCTCTCTCTCCTCCTCAGCGCAAGAGGCGCTTCGCGCAGGCCCTCACGAGCTCGAGCTTCTTCCCGGCCCACACCGTGTCACCCGTCACCTCGCGGGCGGCCCCTCCCCTCCCCTCCCCTCGCCTCCTCGGTTCACCCCTTTGCTCCTCCTCCCCCTCCACTCCTCATCATTATTATTATCCTCATCCTACTCCTCCTCCTCCTCCTCCTCCCTCCTCCTCCTCCTCCTCCTCCTCCTCCTCCTCACCCTCCTCCTCCTCCTCCTTCTCCCCCTCACTCCCTCACTCCTCCTCCTCCTCCTCCTCCTCCTCCTCCTCCTCCTCCTCCTCCTCCTCCTCTTCCTTCTCATGCTTCTCCTCAACTTCCCAACCATTTCCATTTTCTCGGACGGTTTCACCTCCATGGGAGAATGATGAGGAGGAGGATGAGGAGGAGGAGGAGGAGGAGGAGGAGGAGGGGTCCTCTCCTTCCTCCCTTGTAGGGAGTCGCCTCGGCCGCGGAGTCGATGCGCCCCTGCGGGGGCTCCTTCAGCTCCGCGGGGAAGATCTCGCGCGACAGGTCCACAATGTTGTTCTTGTACTGCTGGGCCTCCGGGGGGCGACGACGACGAACGACGACGGACCGACGACGACGACGATGACGACGATGACGACGACATCGACGAACGATCGACGACGACTCCGACCGACGGATGAAAGACGACGATGACGACACGAAAGACGACGACGACGTCGACGACGACGGCGGCGACGACGACGACGAGCCGACGACGATTATACCGATCGACTGCGACACCCCTCGACCTTTGACACAAAAACGACGACATCGAACGATCGGGGATGGCGACGACGACGACGACGACCTCGATCGATAGACGAACCGTCGACGACGACGACGACGGCGTCGACGGCAATATCGACGACGATGACGAGCAAGCCTGCCCCTTCTTGGGTTTGCCGTCCTCGATCATAGGCGGCAGCGCATTGATCTTCGAGGGGCAGAGCACCTGGGCAGCCAGCACCTCATCCTCATCCTCCTCCCCCTGCAAACTACCCCAGTTTTCGGCCAGCGCTCGATTTCCTCAGGCCCCGCGGCCCCCGGGTGTTTCCAGGGATTTCCAAGGTCCAGGCCATTCTCCTCGTCGTAGTCCTCCTCCTCCTCCCTCCTCCCTCCTCCGCCTCCGCCTACTTCCCCTCCTCCTCATCTCCTCCTCCTCCTCCTCCCCATCCTCCCCCTCATCCTTCTCGGCCTTGGCTGCCCTGGGCAAGTGTGATAAAACATGTGACAACAAACAAGTTCGGAGTTGTTGTAACACATTTGTGGTTTCACATCACACTTGTGTTTTATCGCACTTGTTCCGATCTATCGACCACAGCTGCACCGACGAGCTGTCGGTCACATCCCACGGGCGCTACCTCGCTCGGGTGCCGCAGCTGAGCCGATCCTGGACAAAGGACGGGCCTGGCCAATTCCAGCGGGCGACTTCGCTGGGCTGCGGGCCCCAGGACACTCACGGATCGATCGGGCTCGAAGAGTGGCCCAGAAAGATGGGGTCTGCGTGGGGTTCTGTCGCGAGTGTCCCCACTCCTCCTCATCATCATTTCTCCTCGCCTTCCCTCCTCCCCCCACCCCTCCCGGGGGGCGGGGAGGGTGGGTGGCGCGGGCGGCCAGAAGGGCCCCTGGGGGAGCCAGCTGCTTCAGGGTCAGCGTCGCGACGGGCCCCGCGCTGCCGTCCTGGTTCTTCAGCTCGACTTCCTGTGGGCGGAAGTCCGAGGCTGGACGAGCGGGAAGGCAGGGGGGCGAGGAGAGAGGAGGCGGAAGAGGAGAAAGAGGAGGAGGAGGAGGAGGAGGAAGGAGAAAGAGGAAGAAAGGGGAGGGAGGTGGGGGACGAGGAGAGCAAGAGGAGGAGGAGAAGGAGGGAGAGGGCAAGGAGTCGGAGGCGGAGGAGGGAGGAGGGAGGAGGGGAAGGAGGATGTTTCTCCCGGGCTCAAATCCTTCTTGATGTCGCGGACCGCCATGGTCCAATCCGAAGTGACGCCCTTGACGATCCACCCGGGCATGCACGCCATCGAGTTCGGCGCCGCGGACATGCCGAGGGGCGTCACGTACAAGAACTCTCCAGACGGCAGCTTGCCCGCACAGTACACGTCCTTGTTCGTTGGAGGAGCCGCGCCACCAGCGGTGACTTCCCCCGTAAGCGTGAACACCACCAAGTCGGGATCAGTCTTCATGGCAGCCTGGACTGCAGATACATCCACATAGACCTTCGGGCGGAACTTCCTGAATTCTTTCATGCTTTTCGGCGTCTTCACCAGCAAATGATCTAAGCCCTTGTCATCGGCGTGGGTATGCATGAGAAAGGTGGTGCACTGCGCTGCATAAGAGGCCGCCTTGAACTCGGCGGACGTTAGTGGAGTTGGCACACGGTTGTAGTCACTGTTGAACAAGCGGATGAACTTGGCCTGCGGATCCCACTTCACAGCCTCCGCAGCCTCAAGAACTGCATCGACTGAGCAGACGCCGCCGCCGTCATAATCTGCTGGCTGGCTGGTGGCGCCCACCGACGATTTGTACTCAGTCTGGAAAACATCCCATTCCTCCTGCTGTTTCGCTTCCGTCTCTTTCATTGCCGCGATCTCCAGGGTGGCCAACTCATCCGCAATAATCTCCTTCTTGGAGTCCCTGAACTCCTCGCCACGCTCTTGCATCAATCTCACCAACTCCGTCTTGTTATGACTCATGAAGCGATTCTTCGCGACAGTGCGCACCTTCTCCCACGCGGCGTCTGTCCTCGGCACGAAGATGTTGCGGTCGAGCCTCCAGCTGGTTGAAACTGCGCCCGCCCACGCGGCGCACCAATGCCCGAGCTCTGAATACTTTGCGTCCATGGAAGTAATTGCATCATCGAACTCCTTCGCGAACTTGGCCGCCACGCCGAACGAGTCGAAAGCAACCCTCAAGTGAGAGCCCCCAGCCCCATCGTCGATCTCGATCATGTTCTCCTCGAGCAAGTGCGCCTTGATGTTGGCGAGCTCGGCGAAGGCGGCGACGACGTACTCCGAGCGCACGCGCAAGAAACGCTTGAGGTTCTGGCCGATGGCATCGTGGTCCGCCTTCCCACATCCCCAAGCCTGCGCCAGGGCGTCAAATTTAAGAGAGTAGCCCAGGACAGACTTCTCAGCCGAGCTCCCTGCGAAGATAGCGTCCAACTCCTTGGCGGCCGCCACCATCTGAGGGTCGATCGCCTCCCACAGGGACTTGCCGACGAGCTCGACGACGTGGGTCACGGCGACGCCCCACTCTCCGGAATCCTTCATCTTGGAGACCATGTCGGGCGTCTGATCAGCCGACGGTGACGATGCTGTAAAGGGAGCCCAGATAGCCGAAATGACCTTACTCAGCGCCACGCGCCTGCGGGACATCACTGTCGCCGCACTCGCGTTGAGAGGGTTGTTCTTCAAGAACGCCTCAATGTCCTTGACCAGTGCTGCCCGTCTAGTAGCATCCTGCATGCGACGGAAGATCGGCTCGATCACCGCCTTGTCCAAGCCACTCGCTTGCGCCATGGACGCGATGGCACATGCATCGGGGTCGGCGGCGTTGGAACCCTCCTCCTGTGCGTTGGCCTCCGCGTCATCATCGGGCCCCTGACCGTTGGCGGGATTAGAGTCACTGCTGCTCGTGTAGTAGGTTATGTATTTCTGAACGAACTTGCGCACGGCAGGGTAAGATGACAACGTCACGGTGGGCCCGTGCTTCTCCTGCATGTTGGGCGTGTACGACGGCACCTTGACAACCTCTTCCATCATGAAAATAAGCAGCCAGAGCCTGGCATTCGAGGCAACAGTCATATCGATCTCGCTCCGGGAGGCGCCCTTGAAACCCATAGTAACAATTGATATGATTTCATCAGCCATCATTTCGCCTTTCGGCTTGGTCATGTAAAAGGGGGCGATCTTGTCTTCAAGGTCTGCCAAAGCATCGTCTTCTTGCTTTCCCGTCGTTCTGCGCCTCTTTTTGGCACCCTTCCCGGACTTCGCCGCTAGACCCTCCGCGATCTTCTGCTTCGTAGCCTGCGGGGTCGGGTTGAGCACGAGGGCCGGGACGACCTCGGGGCAATCAGATGCGGAAAAAGGAGGAGGTGGTGGAGGCATCCTCCTCGTCGTCTTCCTCCCCCTCCTCGTCCTCCCCCCCATCCTCGTCGTCCTCAGTCCTCCTCCTTCCTCCTCCTCCTCCCGGGCCCTCCCCACCCTTATCCTCCCTCCTCCTCCTCCTTCTCCTCGCCCTCCTCCGCCCTTGTCCTCGTCGTTCTCCATTCCCCCCTTCCTCCTCCTCCACCGCTACTTCCCCCCACCATTGCCCCCCTCCACCCCTTCCCAGCCCTCTCCTCTTTTCCTTTTCCCCCAGAGGCACCTCCGCGGGAGCTTCCACCTCGCCAGGCTTGGTGTTCCGCACGGCCGTAGGCACAAACAGGAGCTTAACCTTCCTCTCTGCCTCCTTGGCATCCTGGAGGATGAACGGGTACTTCACGCGAGAATCGTAGCCCTCGTCGTCCTCCTCGAGCTCGTCCCTCGGGGCGGCCAATTTGAGGACGTCAAGCAGCAGGTCGAGATATATTGGGTTTTTCATGTCTTTGTCGGGGCCCACGGCGGCGGCGAACGTGCGATAGATGGCGGCGTACGTACTTACGCACTGGCCCCTGTCGAAATTGGCAATGAACAACATGTTGGCGTTGCAGTCTTCAATGCACAGGTCGTAGTAGCCATGCTTCTTCATCCCGTTGTGGAAGACCCTGGCGTCCCTGAACTCGGTGAACGAGCTGAAGTATACTCCGTATGTTTTCTCGATGTGATCGCCGAACCTCAGCAATCGGCAGCCGCTCGCTCCCTTCGCCTCCTCGCCCTTCAGCCCGCCCCCCTCTCGCCCTCCCCTCTCCCTCTCCCCCTCTACCCTCCGCCTCCCCACCCTCCCCTCCACCCTCCCCTCCCCTCCTCCCTATCCCTCCCCTGCGTCCCCTGCCCTCCCGCCATCCCACCCCCGCTGCCACCCCCTGGGGAGGTCGACGTGCGCCGGGCCATTCTGAAGAGGCCGCGCCCGCCCGGGGCGGGAAAGGGCAAGGGCCAAGGGCCGAGGGCAGAAAGGCGAGGGCGAGAGGCAACGGCATCAGCATAGTGATCGATCGCTGCCAAGGGGGGGGCCGGGTCTCGTAGCCGCACTGGGCTCTGCTTGCAGCTGTCTTGTCTTCCCCCGAAGCGGCGGCAGCGGCGGTCGCCGCCTTTTTCCTCTGGGATTCCGCTGCCTCGAAAGACCTGGCAGCATCGGGGACGATCTCGAAGGCGTCGATGTGGGAAACCCCGGACGCCTCATTATTCAAAGCGTTCGCCTCAGCCTTACAATATAAGAGAGCATCCTTGGGCGTCCTCGGATCGATCAGGGTGCAGTTGGGCATGCCTTCTGATTCGCAAATACTCTTTGCGTGGCAACTCCCTCCTCCTTCCTACTCCTCCCCATCCTCCTCCGTCTCCCCACGGAGGATGGGGGGAGAAGAGTGGCGCGTATATTTGACATGCGTGGGTGCCCTCTGCGATAGAATGGTTGACTTGCTTGTTGTGGCCCTTGCACTTCGAGTGGGCTTCGTACGCGGCCTTGCACAGGTGGGCCCCGCCAATAATGCTGCACTCGACGGTCAAGGCATGGCCGTCTTTCGCGTTCTGCAGCATCTTCGAATCGAAAGACGTCATGGGGACAGCGACAATCTCACCTGGCTGCCACTGGCCGATGGCTCGGACCCCCCGACCCCCTGGGACCCTCGGGATCATCGCCACCCTCCCTCCGGAGCATCGCGCAGTCTCGGGGTGGTCCGAGTAGGGAAACGATGAGTAACGATGAGGGGGGGGGGGATGAGGAGGTGGGGGAGGAGGAGGATAAGGGGCGAGGAGGCGAGGATGAGGGGAAGGAAGAAGTGTGAGGACTTAGGACGACGGCCACGACGACCACGATAAGGCTTGGAGGGCGGAGGGGCGGGGAGGGCCCCTCCCCTCCTCTCCTCGCTCCCCCTCTGCGGCCGCACAGGCCTCTGGCGCCCTTCTGGATGCCCTGCTTGCAGATGCGCCTCACGTAGCGGGCCAAGGTGGATGCCTGGCGGAGGCCCGCAGGGAGAGGAAGGAAGGGATAGGAAGGAAGAAGAGAAGGAACATGTTGTAGGAGTAAGTATAAAGAAGGATGAGCCTGGTTCCTGTTGTTGAACTCATGCGGTTCCAGCATTTTCTTCTGCCCGTCGAAGAAATTCAACGTGACGTGCTCCTGGGTTCCCGGGGCCCCGGGGCCGACGCCCCGACCTGGCCGCCCCCCTTAACAAGACCAGTCGCGCCCAGCCCAGAGGGAGGGGGAAGGGGGGAAGGAGCTTTATATCAGGTCTCCTTCAAAACGTAATCTTTGCGCCATTGGTCCTGCAACATCCTGCCTTCAAGCTCCGGGTGGCGGTCAGAGTACGCTCCAGTTGGGTTGACGTCGAAAGGTCCCAGGGCCCCATCAGGGCGCGCACGAAGCTGCTCCGTCGGCGCCGAGAGCGCCGAGACATCACTGTTATCACTGGCCAACGAATTGTTTTGACGCAGCACGCGCTTGCGCTTTCCATCGGCAGACATCGCGGCCGGGAGGATTGTCTAGGATGTGACAATTAATTCCCTTCTCCAGGGAACCGAGTCTGAGATTCTGAGCTGGGGAACTGAGACTGCGAATCGAAATCGCTGGGCGAGGAGGGGGAAGGAAGAGGGGGAAGGGTGAAGGATGAAGGGGGGAAAGGGAGGAGGAAGGGAGGTTGGGCGAGGAGGAAGGGAGGTTTGGTGAGGAGGGGGAAGGAGGGGGAAGAAGCGAGACAATGATAACATGATGCCACGATTGCAGCACATGAATTTGTGTGTATGTGTTTGTGTGGACTCAAGGAATCAGGATCCCACGTTGGACGTGGGCGTCGATGGAAACTACATGAGCACCATGAGCATGAACAATTGGAGGTCCGCGCGGATTTCCCGGCTCGGCACTGGGCCCCCTTCCCTTGGAGCGCTTCGCTCGCAAGAGGGGGCAGGCGCCGGAGGCGCTGCCAGTTGGGGCCCAGCGCCGAGCGAAGAAATCCACGCGGACTTCTTAACAGTCATGTTTACGTTGGCAGCGCAGGAGTGAAGGAGACGAGGGGGTCAGGAGGACATTGTCGATCTCGCAATTTGCGCATCGGGCTGTTAAACGGCCTGGCTGAAGAGATCTGATCTAGAGAGGTGCCGATCGCTCTGACACTCGTACGTTGTCGAGTGCCCCCGCACGCGCGCCAACTCTCTGGATCTTCGCCAGGATCGCCTTGCTACATGGGCAATGTTGGCCGTGGTGGATGCCCACGGTCATGAATATACTAGAACAGAACAACATCGGCGCCCTCGGGGAAAACTGCGTTCCAGTTGCCATCGCAACAGACATTGTAAACGTGGCCGTCTAAACGTAACCTGCTGCCAGGAGGGGTGTACGTACAGGCATAATTGGCAGCAAGGCAGAAACGTGACCTGCTTCAGTGTCTGACTCGCGACTCACCCCCCTCCTCTTCCTCCGCGCCAAAACCCTTGATTGCTCCTCATCCTTCCTCCTCCTCCTCCTCCTCCTCCTCATCCTCCTCATCTCGCCTCGCTGATCTCACTCACTCACTGACTCGCTGCCCCTGGTGGCGGCGGGGGCGAAGCTGTCGCCGCTGAGCTGGCTGATGTTCTCCGGGAGCGTGGTCTGCCGCAGCCCGCTGGACGAGGCATTGGCGCTGGTGCCGCTGGTGCCGCTCTCCGAGCGGCGCCCCTTCTTGCAATCCTGATTGCTCTCTGCCGCAGCCGGGCGCATCTTCGCACTCTGCGTGCTGTCTGCCGCAGCTGCGGCCGCTGGCCTCTTCGCGAGGGTGCGCCCCTTGCCCTTGCCCTTGCCCTTGCGCGGCGCAGGCTGAGGCAGCTCATGCGGCACGCGCGGCGCGGGCGCACCCATGGTCATGCCGTCGTGGACGCGCGGGAACTTCAGCACCAGCTGGAGGAGCCACGCGCCGATGTGGTTGATGTGGATCGTGTTGCCCGCCTGTCTGCGAGCGGAGCGAACCGTCCGCTGGGCAGGCGGTCGCATGCCTGGGCTCTCTCATCCATCCTCCCTCCTGCTCCTTTCCCCCCCCTCCTTCTCCTCCTCCTCCTCCTCCTCCTCCTCAGGATGCACTGCTAACTAACCAGGGGCATCCTTCTTTCCAGGAAAAATGAGGGTGGGGGCGCTTCAAATTCAAAGCTCGATCATCCTCTCCTCCTCCTCCCCCTCCTCTCCTCCTCCTGTGATTAATTCAGGGGCGAGCTCGCCGTGACTGAACTGGCACACCGCGCCCCCCGTGGCGTCCTGGTCCTCTTTGCACACAGGGAAGCCCATGGCGGTGAAGAACTCGGGTGCGGTGATCCACCTCTGGCGCAATCCGCGAAGGGGAAGGTCGAGGAGGGCGAGGCATCTTGGTGCCTTTCTGGTGGCCTCTTGGCGCGCTCTCGCGGGCGCCTGGGGCCCTCCCTTTTTGTGCCCGTTTTGGGGCCCTCTGTGGCTCAAAAGGACTTGGAGGCCACCGGAGGCCGAACCCTCAAACATCTCCAGGAGGGGAGGACCCGGGGAGGAGGGAGATGACGATGGAGGACGGACGAGGGGAGAGGAGGGGAATGATATCAGGCGAGGGAGGTTCGAAGGGAATGGGCTGACAGGAGAAGGGTAGAACGAGAGAGGGGGGGAGTGGGAGGAAAAGGAACGCGAGGATTTTTGGAGCCCGACCGCTATGCGCCCACCTGTCGATGCCAGCGTACGTCTGGTCCGTGTCCGTGGGGCCCCTCGTGATGTACTGGAAGCCAACGTTGCTGATGATCGTATTCATGACCCCGCCGATCGTACGCATCACCCGCTTGCGTGGATTCTGATCCAGATCCACGGCTGACCCAGGCCACTGTGCCTCAGCGTACTTCAAGTTGCCACGCTCCCAGAGGCCGAGCGACGCCCTTGGCGTCCCGGGGGTGTCCTCGCACTTGACGAA